CAATCATTATGACATGCATGTATTTTGATATAATTCAAACCTATTGGACACAGTATCTTCTTGTCCTCATAATAATGATCCAACAAATTGTTATCCTATGGTAGCATTTGTTTCAACAAATCAAGCAATTTCATGAAACTTTTATCCATCCATCCATTTTTTGCCTTCAAGTTAAACAATTTTAACACATCAGCCAATCGTGTAAAACTTATGTACCCCTTGTATAAAGCCACATCCTTACCACTACATAAAGTATCATAAATATGAGCTTTCCTAAAAGAAGATTCTCCAATATCACATATCATATCTTCGAACCGATCAGCCATATATTCATCAGCTTCATGTCTTTTTGACGTCATATTTTGATTTTTATCCACTTCAACATGTCACACTCATATTGTATAATTTTGACAAATTCTATCACAACATAGGTGATGGAATATTTCTTCTTTTGGAAATGTTTTGATATTCTCACATACAACATAAGGATAATAAAAGAGTTCATTATTGTTGGGAATATTTTGTTCAGCGTATTCAAAGAATTAAACAACTTTTTTCTCATACACTAGACCTAATATATTAGCTTTCATCCAACTACGATCCACTATAAATTATGAAATTTAGATTAAAAGCTTGTAGAACCATTAACAATACAACAACACAATAAGTTATAAAACGATCTTCATCTTCATATCATTCAATCGCAACAATATATAACATTCCCAACAACATAAAAACAATCTCAATATCACTCAATCACAATAACACAAATGGCATGTTAATGTTACACACATGATACTAAATTCACATAACATTCTCACATACTAATATGCTGCATACAAATATATACAACCTACATTCACATAACATACTAGAGGTTTGTACACACACCACATTGGAATATGATTTAATCACAACAATATAACCTTTAACAACACCAAAACCTAAAACTCAATATGACTGGTGATAAACGTGAAGAAATAGGTAAAGTATCGTAAACTGAAGAAGAGGTCGTGGCCAAGAAACGCCCTTCGTGTATGCTCACGCTCGCTTTCGTCGAAGATGAACAAATAGATAAAGTAAACCGCCTTCGTATAAATTGAAGAAGATGACGTTCAAAGAAATGAATGAAAGGTAAGAAGATAAAGTTTGGAAGTTTGTTTTGCTATCGACTTTGTCTGCTCTTTTACTAGGACACTTGTATTATGAAAGAATAAACTAAATCTTGTATGTTTTAATTATAATGAAACACATTTCACCACAGTTGATAACAACAACCGTAGTGATATATATTAATTTTAGATGACATATAACCACAATTAATAGATACAACCGTGGTGAAACTATTTTTAACTTTATTTTAATATAGACATTAATTAACACACTCTTTCTTGTATAGAAAAAATAGGAAAATATTGACGTTGAAATTCAAAACATGTGAGACTTAGCATATTGCCACAGTTATTATTATGGACCGTAGAGATATGTCTTTTAATAAATAAAAATACAAACACCTATTAAGAGATATTACTGGTTTGATTAATTAACCAAAGTAATAATATGTAATGATATGTATATTTTGTAGTGGTTCACGATTTAACACGAAAAATAGAAAAAAATTCTTTTTTTCTCTACGAACAAAAATTCATCTATTTATACTCTTGCCCCAAAATGTGGAGACCCTTTTACTAGTTTCACTATATCATAAACACGCTCTTCTTATCACACACTATGAGAAAAATCATCCTTATTGTATTTTACCGGTATATTTCTATATACTTCTAAACCTATAAATTTTATTAGTCAAGATCCTAAATAACATTTAACAATAAACATTTTGAATTGTCAATGAAAAGCAAATTTAAAAGTTATATGTAAGAAATGAAGAGATGAAATTCTCCTAAGATTGAGTTGATGAAATGTAATGCAACTCAATTCTAAAATCTATTTACACACGCTTAGCTGTTGCACCATATTGTAGCAAGACCAATAACATTTCTCAAGTTACATACTTGTATTTTATTTAACTGTAATGATTATTTTTTACAATTAGTTATACTAATGAATAATGATATACTAGTAGTAGTATATAATTTTTTTTTTTGATAAAGTAGTAGTAGTGTATAATTTGAATTCTATATCACGTCAATTTTTGTCAAAATCATAAAGACAAGGTTTCAAAACATCCAAACGGCATAATACGTCAAAAATACTTCGTATACATCATTCAATTAGACAGAGTTATTATCACAAAAACATTTAATATCATTCCACATCAAAACTTCAAAAACAAAATACTAAAAAAAAATCGATATTAATTATGCCTTGAAATACTCGAGGAGGAAATATTACAGCTAAGTTTATCGACCCCACACGTTGTTACAAACGATGATTATCGTTGCAATTGGTGAGAATAAAGGTACTTTTAGAATTAAATTAATAATTAAAAGTTAGTAACATAGTAACAATAAATGATTATTAATTTAATTTCTTATACTAAAAAAATAATTAAAAACATAAAAATGGTAATAAGAGTTAGTTAGAGGTAAAAACCAAAAACAATTAAAAGTAGGTGGCGCGAAAACAACTGACCCCACGTCTCCCTCCTTTTTCCTTAACTGAAACCGTTTTATCATTACCTTTTTTATTTTTAATTTTTTTTAATTTTTTTATTATTTTATTTTTCTTAGCAAAGTTTTTCCTTAACACGAAATCGTTATTAATTATTATTTTTTACTTCTTTTAATTCTCGCTTTCTCTTTCCCACTTAGTTTCAAAATCACGAAACTGCCATCGCCGGTGAAACTCCACTCCGGTAACCGTTTTTCGCCTCTCCGTTCATTCTCCGGCGAGTTTTATTTAATCCAAATCGTTGTTTCGAGAAGAAGGTGATTCGATCACTCGTTTGTTTATTTATTTAGTTTTTTAGGGTTTTTCTCGCGGATTCGTTGTTCAATTTCAAGTTTTTTTATCTGATCGGAGAAATTTATATTATCAGTAAACGGTGTTGATTATTGCATTGGAATTGAGTCGATTAGGTTTTTTTATTTGTTAATTTTCCTTTTTAAGCGTTTTTTTCTCTCTAATTTTGTTATGGATCTTCATTTATATCACATTATGCTTGAATAATTTAGGTTTCTATTTCTGATCGAGTTTTGTGCTCTAAATTTTACGGTTTCAATTATTTGTGTTTTGAAGGTGGTTTTCATAATTCAATTGAATTGTGAAGTTTTTTGAGAATCACATGAATTTGGGAATGAAATTCAATGCACTTTAGTCTATAGTACTAGTTTCTGTGCAATTACACTCAAGCTTGTCTTCAGTGAGAGGAGACATAAATCTGTGTGAAAATCTGTGTGAATCCAGGCATTTGTCATGGATCTCTGTTCTGAACCCTATATTTTGTTTCTTTTCAATCAATTTTTGAGGTTAATAATTTTTCATGGATTTCAACAATATTCTTTTCTTGTTACTGTTTAGTGCTAAGTTTTAAATAACTGATGTTCTGTTGCGGTCCTGTAAAGGATTTTGCAATTTGGGTCGATATAGGTGTTGCGACGCCTGGTTGCGGGTGTCGCGGTGTGAATAACCACAATTTGTTCTTTATCCCTAAATGGTAAATAACGGTATCGGCATAGGAAGGTGCGGATACCAGATGGTGAGATACTGTTTTGGTGCAGCGGTTTTCTTCAAGTAGCTAAAAATGGAAATGACCGGTCTCCATAACTTTTTCTATTTTTTTATTATTTTCTTTTTTGTTGTTGTGGAAAATGGTGTTTGTGAATCATGTTAGGTTTACACAAATTGTTTTTATGGGGATGGTGGACAATGATCATCACTGCACGTGGATTTCTTTGTCTATGCCCATTTCTCAAACAACAATAACACCATCAAGTTCAAACTTCCATCTTCAATTAAATTAGGAAAATAATATAAAATATTGTGTAGTATAGAATACAAACAAAATATATAATTAATTGGTTCTATTGAATATAATATTCTGTTTGCAAATTTGGAAGAGGATATTTATTTATACTACAAGAAAGCAGTTACTATATGGTAGTAATTATTATCTTGTGGTTCTTTTTATTTCATCTAAGGAAAAAGTTACACATTGACTTCATTGCAACTTAATTGTGTTATGAGTTTTGACTGTTTGGTTTGATTTGGGGAAGAAAAAGAGATTGTTATAGGAAAGATTAGTTACTATATTTTTGGGCCTGCAATGCAAGTTATGGTATCACTTTCACTGAATTCCCTTTCATGAAAATGAGTTGAGAGAGAAGAAGAAATAGGACAGAGTGTGTTTGTGTGGAGTAAACTTATTGCCAGCCCATAGACCATGGCATTCCCGTGAGAGAGACAAAAGGGGAAAAAATTAAAGTCTCTCTAACCCTATGTACTTCCTCTTTCTTATCCTTATACTCTTTATTATTCTGTTTTACATCCCAGTATCCCTAATTTCCAAGGGGACCCCCCCTTTCCCTGCAAATCAACTTTTTTGTTTTTGTTTTAATCTTCAGTTAAACACAAACTAACGTTTAATGATAAAAAACGTTAAATGTACGTTGAGACAGTTTCCGCTAGTTTCTCTCATCCATTACACCACCAGATGTTTTTTTCCCTCTCCGTATTCTTCCTGCTGTGTCCTGATCTTGCTGGATTCGGGATTTTTTTCATGAAAAAAACATACCCACTTGCTTTTATTACCTGCGATTCTCAAGTTCCTTCTCCAACAGATCTGAGTCTCTGTAAAGATGTGCGCTTTTTTATTTTTCCTTTTTTCTCTTTTTGAAGGGGCTTATTCTTTGCGTTTCTTTTCTTTACCAGTCTGTAGTGTCTTACTTTATTTTCATTTGTGACAGATTTATTGCAGGGAAAAGGATCTTCTTTCTGGATAATCTGCGCTGTTCATTTATTCCATTGGACTGCCAAAGTTACTATATTTGGCTTAGTTTAATGAAAACTTCCATCAATGTGGTCTGATTGGGATAGAGTGGATGGATGTATGTGAATCAGAGCAAGCATTACGGAAACACAGAACTGGGGAGAGTGCAAGACACCCTTTGGCCCCAGCTGAAAAGAACAATGCAATCACCACAAGGCGGTCCGGAACTAGGGAAGTTAGTTCAAGGTATAAGTCACCTACTCCGTCATCTCCATCTGGTCCCCGTCGGTGCCCATCTCCATCTGGTCCCCGTCGGTGTCCATCTCCAAATAGCTTCACGAGAACAACTGCACCATCTAAACTATTACCCAAGAGAGCTCAATCAGCTGAGAGAAATCGGCCTGCAACTCCTCCTTCTCCAACAAGTCCTTCTACGCCCGTCCACAACGATGTGCATTTATCCAAAAGGGTAGCTAATAGCCGTTTGCCAGAGACTCTATGGCCTTCCACAATGCGAAGTTTGAGTGTTTCTTTTCAGTCAGATACCATTTCGATACCTGTGAGCAAGAAAGAGAGGCCTCTTACTAGTGCTTCTGATCGTACTCTACGGCCGACTTCAAACGTGGCACACAAGCAGGTTGAAACAAAAAATACACGTAAGCCTACGCCGGAGAGAAAGAGGAGTCCTCTTAAAGGGAAGAATGCCTCTGATCAATCTGAGAACTCAAAACCAGTTGATGGTTCGCATTCTCGGTTGATAGATCAGCATCGGTGGCCAGGTAGAATGGGTGGGAAGGTATCTTCTAGTCCCTTAAATAGAAGTCTTGATCATTCAGATAAGATAACCAGAATGTTGAACAGTTCTGTTCCAGGAACGGGTGTGTCTTCACTTAGAAGATTTTCATTACCAGGTGATGCAAGTAAGCCCCTGCAGAAAACTTCTACTGATGTTGCAAGGCTATTGTCACTTGTTGAAAATGGTAGAATAGGAAGCCAGGTGAAATCTTTTGATGACAGCTTCCATGTATTAAGAACTCATAAATCTGTTCCTGCCACTCCATCAGATAAAACAGGATTACCATTTACTGGAGCCAGATCTCAAGCCTTGTTATCTCCAAGGTCATCACGTCCCTCCTCACCTAGTAGGACCATGACAGTATCTCCTTCTATTTCCAGAGGCGTCAGTCCATCTCGGTCAAGGCCATCTACTCCTCCCAGAGGGGTTAGTCCAAGTCGAATAAGGGCAACTAGTTCGTCCAACCAATCCAACGATTCAATTTCAGTTCTTAGCTTTATTGCCGATTTTAAAAAAGGGAAAAAAGGTGCAGCCTACATTGAAGATGCTCACCAATTAAGACTTCTCTATAACAGATACTTGCAATGGAGATTTGCCAATGCGAGAGCGGAGGATGCATTTTATGTCCAAAATGCAATTGTCGAGGTATGGCTTGCTATCTTTGACAAGCTGGCAAACTCTTCGTGGACTTCCTCTAATACATAGGTTGTATATTTGGAACCATTTACCTACATCAATTTACTAGAGCTTGTTCAATGATGCAGAAAACTTTGTATAATGTATGGAGCACTACTATGTCTATGTGGGAGTCAATTACTAGGAAGAGGATCCATCTCCAGCAGCTGCAGCTTGAGCTGAAGCTGAATTCTATTATGAATGATCAAGTAATACTTCTCTCTTGACTGAAATATTCTTATCTTTCTCTATGCCATGTTGTAATATTATAGTATCAGTTTGGAACTATATTATAGTACATTCCAGTCACATGTTGTTATTTGTTTTAGTACTTCAATTTCAGATGGTTTATTGCGGAGTTTATAAGTGACACACATGTACTTTCCAAGAGATTGCTCCTATTATATCGAAAAGTTTGATAATATGTTGTCAATGTTTCATGTTAATGGCTGATATAAGTGATTATAAGTACAAAAAAATTAGAAAGCTTAGGACTTTGCTTGTTAAGAGTGGAACATTGGAAGAATGAGTATTAGTTTGGGAGGTTGGTTACATTTTGATCAAGAAGATACTGATATTATTGAAATCTTACACATAATTCTTTATTTAATTTCAGTTATTGTATGTGATACTAGTTTCTTTCCTTATTTAATTTTCAACTTTCAATAGTTAATAATAGTTTTTTTGGGGTCAATGAACTAGATGACCTACCTTGATGATTGGGCCAATCTTGAAAGCAGTCATGTTGATGCTCTATCTGGGGCTGTAGAAGACTTGGAGGCAAACACTCTTCGTCTTCCACTGACTGGAGGGGCAAAGGTATGCCTGGTTTTTGTATTTTTCGGTTTAGTACCTAGAAAGTGACACTAGCATCAATCATTCTATGTTTACACTCCTACAGGCAGATATTGAGCACTTGAAGGTTGCTATCTGTTCAGCTGTTGATGTCATGCAAGCTATGGGATCTGCAATCCGTCCTTTGCTTTCACGGGTGAGTTAATATTCTTAAGAGTTCTATTGATTTGATTCACATAATCACCTACCACTTGTTTTACCCTGCTATTTTCTATGTCAGCACATTTAATGTAAAACCACTTTTTGCTGGTTGTAAGTTTTTCTTTTGATTTTTTTAGTGGAACTGCAGTTTTGGGCAGTAAAGTGTTACTATGTTTTTTGTATCATTCATAATATGTTATATTCTACAAGAGGTTGACGCCATTTATACTGTATCTGACAGGTGGAAGGCATGAATAACTTGATTTCTGAAGTTGCTATCGTAACAGCACAGGAGAAAGCCATGCTTGATGAATGTGAAGCGCTACTGGCTTTTTCAGCGTCTATGCAGGTGAGGATTATAATATATAATTTATGAACATGAACTATGCAAATATATTTTTTCAATTTTATGATGATGATATGATGATGAGTGCACTCCACTCACACTTATCACATTTTACATTAAGTTTGATTTCTTGTAATACTTATGTTGTGGGGATTCAATATTTAAGAGCCATATTTCATTAGCGAATCATAATAGAGCTCTAGATCTAAAGACCCTGGTTTGACTGTAAACTAGTTTAACTTTTCTAATTTGCTATTACTTTTACTACGCTCCCTCATTTTTCACTGAAATACTACTAGTAATGGATTAATCGTCAAGGAAAGTTGAACATGTCAATATGAAAATGCTTCTAGTGTCATGTGCTATTTTCTTGTCTATATATTGGCATGCAAATGTAGTTTTATAGCTCTTTTCACTTCAGCCATTTAATATCTGAAAACTGTTGAACATAATTAAACTGTTATCCACCACACCATGGTTTGCCAGTAGTATAACAGCTGCAACTACTTTATCTAAAGATGTTTTTATTAGAGAATGACGGTCATGATTCAGTTGTAAATTGCCAGAAATATATTATATTCATCAACGTTATGCTTGCTTGCTCCATGCTTCCATCTGAATGCAGAAGTGAATAAGCAAAACGTATAGAGGTTTTTCTTTTTTGTTTCATAAAATGAAGGAGCATCCTTTCAACGCTAGTGTCTTGGGCTTTATTAATCCCTTAAAGGACAGTTCTAAAGAAACAAACAGTTCGTAAACTGGTTCTTCAATTCACGGCTGAGTGAAAAGAGTCGAAAGCAATGCAACAAACTTGACTATATTTCTTATGTTAGTTTCTATATTGATTACTTTTTTTTGGCAAAAACAGGTTGAGGAATATAGCCTTCGAACGCATCAGATGCAAATCAAGCAAGCGTTGGAGGTAAAAAAGTAACCAATCTCAGAAATTTAGACACACACGAGTCTGACCTGCTACCAAGCTAACGAGAAATAGTCTCTTGCGGCTGCACCCAAAGTGGTAGTATTAGTATGTAAATCTTTTAAATAGGTTTTTTTTTCTTCCTCTCTTCCCTCATATATGCTGGAATTTATAGTTCAATCATCATCTTTTTCTTTCTAGTCAACACTGGTGACCCAAGCCTTCTTCCACTTGTAATTTTGTATCTGGCAAATGAAAAGAAAATGCAAAGCAAAGAAGTAAAATAGTCCATATTTACAATTTGGATTTGTCTCGGTAATTACTTCCACCATTCTAAAATAAGTGTCTTTTTACTTTCAATAATATTAATCAATACATGGTAGAAGTTTTATTTTTTCTTAAAGGTATGTTAACTGTTGATTGGATTTGGAAGTTAAAAATCCCAAAGAACACGAAGCATTTCATCGTACTTGTTTGCTTATTATTCTATGGACACCTCGTGCTATAGCAGCAAAATTAGCTATTTATAGACTTCAAGTCACCCCAAAACCAGGAAGGCTTAGGAGAAGAACGATTCAAATGGACTTCTAAACTAATATGTTTGTATTTTAAAATTCAGTACAGACCTAGACTAGGAGGATGACTATTTTGTCTACAGTGCACTTTGATGAATTAGAATAATGGAAACAGAAGTCTAAACTGACCCTAAATTGAAAAGATTACTACGAGATTTATTGCAAGATGCAAACTCTCATCGAGGATGCACCTTTAAGGATAGAATATTGTTCTTTAAAGGAAGGTTAGAATTGGCAAGGTAGGGAGTATTGAATTGTATGTGAAAGAACGGAAAATTAGAATCATAGCACGACACTTAAGATCTTATTGAAAGATATAATTGTAATTTGACGTACATATACATACGCTCACAAAAACATAAAAATTATAATACATAGATAAAATAACTTATAAATCACAAAATTCAACCAATTTAGTTAATAATTGATAACTATCATTTCATAATTTAACAAGTTCAAAAAAATTTGTTCAAAATAAGTAGTTCAAAAAATATAAAATCTAACAAACAAGTCTAATTATCTAAGATATTATATATTCTCATATCATGATAGTCATATAAAAAGACAACTTCAGCACGTAAGATTGTAAGATCTTAAGACCTAACACTGATCTTAACCACAAAGTGCACGAAAAAAGTTTTATCTCAAATCGTAGCACTAAAAGGAAAATTTAGCACAAAAGGTCGTAAGATCTTAAGACTCAGCACTCATCTTAACTACATTGAGTGTTGGAGATAGAAAAATACATTTTATGTTTCTCATGAAAAGGAACATTTAAGTCTTAAGTTCATGTATATTTAGATTCATGCATTTACGGAGTTAAAATATTATTTATTTCTCCTTGTAAACATGATATGTAGTTAATTATATAATGTGTATAAATATCATCGATGTTGAGTGTTTTACTCCCTAAAGCACATTCAAAAAATTTCTCATTCCTATTTTTCACATGGCATCAGAGCTTCTAATTTAGGGGACTCTACTTCCACTAATCATTGCTTAGAAATTCAAATGGGCATTTTTATGTTGTAAGAACCCTTAAGTCTTGATTGGGCAACACTTGCTGTCAAATTTACCCAACTAAGCGCTATTTATACTTTCTCGGAAGACATTCGTGCAGTTCCGTATATTTTCCTACAACCGTTGTTACAGGACTACACATTTTTCAGCATCTGTCTGCACAATTTCGGTCGCTGTCCCTACATTTTTTTGGTTGATTTCTTCATCATATATTATTTTTGTTGGTATCTCATACATAAATATTTGATGGTTGCTTCTGCTTCCTTCATGAACAATAGTATGGAAAAATTATAAAGTAACTGTAGTGTGGTGTATTCTGGTAAGTTTCCACTCTCATTTGAATTTCATGTCTCAAAAACACCTTATTTCTTATTTTGAATATTAGATTCAGGAGCCACTGACCACATGGCACCCTCTTCAAAATAATTCTTCGCGTATTCCCCGTGTCCCAGTAATAACAAGATTTCTATTGCCGATGGTACACTTGTAACTGTAGTTGGCGTTGAAGGTATCCAAATAAATCATTCTATAAATTTAAAAAGAGTCCTCCATGTTCCAAAGTTATCCATCAACCTTGTTTTCATGCAAAAACTTATAAGCGATTTATCCTGTAATGTGACTTTTCATAATAATTGTTGTATATTTCAGGATAAGGAGTCAGAAAAGACGATTGAACGTGCTAGAGAAACGAATGGTCTTTACTATCTTGAAGAACCAGGTCAGTGTACAAAAGTCCATTTGTCCCACTCATTTATGTCAGAGTCAGTACTCTCCAAAAATTAAAAAAAAATCTTTCTTTTCCATTGTCGATTAGATCATCCTTCTTTTGGAGTCATTGAAGTTTTGTTTCTGTCTCTATTAATAAGGTAGATATTAAAAGTCTTCATTGTGATGTGTGTGAGTTTGCTAAACATAAGCGTCTACCTTTTCCATTAAATCACAAAGAAGTCTTTCCCATATCTATCTTATTTATTCAGATGTCCAGGGTTCCTCTATCAATTCAAATATAATAGATGCTAGGTGGTTTGTGACTTTAATAGATGATTTTACTCGGATTACTTGGGTGTGTTTACTCCAAAACAAGCCTGGCGTCAGTACTGTTTTCCCAAAGTTTTTCTACATGATTAAAAATTAATCTAGAGTAAACATTAAAAGACTTAGGCCTGGTAATGGAAAAAGTATTGCAATCATGTTCTTATTTCTTTCTGTCAAAAAAGGGAATTGTCCATGACTCTTCTTGTGTTAAAACACCACAACAAAATAGAATCGCAGAAAGAAAAAATGTGCATCTATTAGATCAAGCCCGAGCACTATTGTTTCATCAAAGTGTTCCTAAATATTTATGGGGGAGGTCATTCTCACTAGCACATATTTTATTAATCGATTTTACTCTAAAATATTAGGGTTCAAAATTCCTATGGATGTTCTTTCTTCCTTCTATCAAATTTTTTTTGTTAACAAGTAGTAATCTTAAACCTCAAATCTTTGGTTGTGTCTCATTCGTCCATGTGCATAGTCAAAACATGAAAAAATTTGATCCTAGATCCCTAAGATGTGTTTTTGTTGGGTATTTCTTTACTCAAAAGGGATATAGGTGTTTTCATCCTTCATATAAAAGGTTATTTGTGTCACGGGATGTTACCTTTCATGATAAGGAACCGTACTTCACTAAACCTTCTCTTCAGAGGGAGAATTTAAAGAAAGATAAGCTTGAAAGTCTTGATCTTTTTGATCTTTAGTCAAATACACTCAATTTGTCTAGTATTAAATCAAATACACCTGGTCATTTTGGTTATGACTCAAATACACTCAATCTCTCTGGTCTCAAGTCGAATCCACCTAATTCTTCCTATTTCGAGTCAAATAGACCCGATCTTTCTAGACTTGAGTTAAACACACTTGTACCATACCCATCTAGAACAGGAGAATTAGGAGTGACTGTTAAAAAGTATAGTCAGGAGCGTTTTATCGTATCCGCAGGGATTGTACGAGAATATTTGATGCTAGCCGCTCAATATTTTAGTGACTTAAGTAAAGGGGTTTTCAAATGGTTTCTATTTGGTAACATAAGTTTGCAAGAAGTAAAACAAGGTAAAAGTTTATTCTTGTTTGATAAAAAGCATGTCAAGATTAGGTTTCACTAATTCGTCTTAAACACATCCAATCAATCGAATATGTGAACTTAGTTTCAACCAATATAATCGCGTGTCCTCGCAAAACCGTTTATCTTTAAAGCGATTACGTGAATATTATTGTTTCGACCGTTAAATGATCTCTCGAAATAACACCCGAAACAATAATCATTAAGATCAATACAATGCAAGTATGAACTTCCAAATCTATGTCTAGAGTTTGTTAGTTGATAGATGAAGAAATTAGGTCAAGACTTGAAAAGTTTATGTATAAAGCAATCCAAACCATAGATACAACAAAATATAGCAAATAACTTCATCTATATTGATCAAAGCTTTGTTCACATACAAAAGATTAAAAGAAATACATACAATCAAAATTAGCTACCTCTAATCTTGACACAAAAGGGGTCTAGCCACCCATTTCCATGGTAGCTTGAGCAACAAGTTTTGGAAGAAGGTTAATCAACATCCAAGTTGAAAAATCGAGATTGGATGGAATCCATCTTCTTTTGGTGAAAGATGGCTAAGAGATGACGAAAATGGGAGAACTAGGGTTTTCTTGCTGAAAAATATAAAGTTATGAAAAGGTATCAAAAAGTGGTATGGGCTAAAAAGTGGTCTCAAGCGCTTATACCCATGTTGTTGCTTTGCCACGTTCGCACTGCGAACAGCCAAATGTGGCACTTAAAGTGCCTTTGTACAGTTAAACCGCCCTGAGACATTTCTTCATGTTCGTTGTGCGAACAATCCTACGCACTGCGAAGCCTTCGCCAACAACTTCGCACAACGAGTTTCTATCCAAATACCTACTGCCTCAAGTCTGGGACCATTCGCTAGCACTTCGCTACTTATTTTCTCCAGCAAACCATTCGCTAGCTTCTTCGCACAACGCATTTTGGTCCATTTCTCCTCTATGTGAACAGTACCAAGCTCCCAGGGGTTTTCGCTGGCAAGTTCGCTGTGCGAACTTGTTGATGAATTTTCTGGAGAAGTTTGCTAGGAGCTTCGCACGACGAACTTCATGATGTTTTTCTACTGTCTTGGTTTCCTTGCCAATATTCTTGTGTCTTACTCTTCACTTTTTTTGTGCCTAATTCCCGCACAATAGCACAAAAATCAAAGCAACCAAGGTATTTTCAAGCAATGAAGCATATCATCTAAAACGTAAGTGATTATAGTCAATTTATCCACAAAAAGAATGAAAGATGCCAACATTTGATAGAGAAATCATGCAATGTTTGACATATAACAACTCTCCCCAACTAGATTTTTGCTTGTCCTTAAG